CAGATACATTCTTCTTAAGACCTGCTTTTTCATTCCTTATAATTTTTGAAATACAGATTAATGTGAATATTTGAAACTGTAGCTCAGCAATTAGTAAAGGAGTGGTTACACTTGGACAGTAGCTATAAGAGTGGATGTGTCCCTGTAAGGAATGTGCTGGAGCAGTAGGGATTTCTGTGGGTAGGTGTGCCCACATGGGCTTAGCAGCTCTCTGGCAGGCTGGAGAGGCCTTGTCTGTGTACAGCCACTCCCAGACAGCATTTTAAAGTCACCTGTACAGGGTGTATAGGCATTTGTGGGTTCATTGTCACCTGTCTTTGTCTCCTGAGTTGTGGGTGGTAGGATGCTGGGTTCCCAGTTCTGAATTGGAATCACATGAAGCATATTTGGTCTGAATTGTGGTTTGTGTCTTTGAGAATAGGTCTCTGCACAGGATAAGGCTGGAGAGAGTGGTGTGGAGTGAGGTGGCCTGGTTGAGACAAGTAGGAATGGGGGCCGTGAGCACACATAGGAGTAGGGGTGGAGCTTGCAGAAGCTGAGGAGGCCTCCGGTAGAGGGGAGTGGGGGGGGGTGTAGCAGAGTGTGGGTGGTCGAGGAAGGTGGGCCACCTGGGCATTGTGAACCGAAGGGAGAGTTTAGACTTAGTCTGAGTGTGGCAGGAAGTCCATAGAGGATGCGAAACAGCTGACTTGGATGGACAGAGATTTGATAATTGTATTCTGAGGCTTTTGTCAAGTTCCATGTCAGCCTATGTCTGGAAACACTCTGAATGGTCTTTCCTTGGAGGGACCCAGGTTGGACAGCAAGCATGTTCTTCCCTTGTCCCTCTAAGGCATTGTTTTCTGGGAAAGACTGTGGAGAGGTGACATTGCCAGTGGTAGCCCTAATGCGGGCCAGCAGATGCAGGCCCTTTTTTGAGGCTATGGTCTTCTTCACAGCTGATGCACCTCTTAGCAGCCTTCTGTCTGTCTCAAAGCAATAGCCAGGTGGTGGGTCACAAAGGGGGGGTGGCAGGAAGCAGGTGGCGGAAATGGTTTGGCCCAGATGAAGGGAGAAGGAAACTACGAAAAGAGCTGGAGCTGAGATTTTGTGTTTGTATGAACTGATTTCATTCTCTTGTTTCAGGATACACACAGGCCTGCTCTGGAACAGCCCTGTGTTGGATCTCAGACATAGTCCGCATCAAGGTTGACGCTCAGCTATGGAATCGGTAAATATCACCCTGTGTTCTTGCTTAGCAGTGTGTGTTATTTCCACTGGTTTGTCAACATGAGTATCAGAATAGTGAGGAAATAAGTTTGCAGGCTGACTTTCTTGGGCATGGTAGTATTTTAGCTAAATGTCTTCACTTTTGTTTCAGATGTCAGTTAGGGTGTTTTCTGAGTGGTGTCAGTGAGCTCTCAGGGTCAGTAAGCAGCTCTTCTATGACCCTGAGAGTTCACTGGAATTCTGCTGAAAGATTAAAATGGGTCGGTGGCTTAGTCTGTAATCCACCTTAGTCTCCTCAACTTCCTTTATCTAATTTTTTCTATTCCACATAGTCTGAGGCTGCAGAACCCTGTGGGTACTGTGTGCGTCCTGCAGTATGAGTCCTCACGCAGGCTGACTTCCGTGCCATGGGAAGAGAGGGAAGGGATTCTGACCTGTGCCCTGGGGTGTGGGGATGGGCTGCTGACTGGTGTTGATAGAAGCTTGGGGCCCTGTGTGTAGCTTCTGGGAGAGTGAATGTTTTGCTGGTTGACTCCGCCTTCTCAGAGTCACTGGCACATTGTCCGGGGGTCGGGGGAGAAGCTGCCTCCACAAAGACTGTGTTCTTGGGTCTGACCAGGTTCGTGGTATTGTAGGACAAAGCATCCTTTGGATTATATCCTTCCATATGTGAGAAAACCCTTGACCTGTTTTAGTTTTCCATACCATAACTAGGTATTAGTTAATGCTTTAAAGCAAAACAGTCCAGAATGTGTCATCTCCTTGGCGGTGTGACTCTGTGTTGTACTTGCTAAAGAATGAGTCTCCTGCTGCTGTCTTAAGCGTGTCTCCCCTTTCTCTTGCTCACCATCTCAGACCACTTTGAGATGCTCTGACTGGTCTCTGCATGAGACTGAGGTGTTTCCCTGAACGGGGAATGGGGTTGGACAAAAGGGAACGGTGTCCCTGGCCGTACGCCTGGAGGTTTCTGCTCCTCATCCACAGGTTGCTGAGCAGTTAGGAGCCAGCCCAGGCAGGACGCGTGTCCTGATCAGGTGACACATCTCAGGGTTGGAGGTGGATCAAGGAGGGGATGGGGGGGGCAGGGGCAGGGTGACTAGGTACATACCTGAATGGAGGGAGCGGGAGTGGCAGGGAACATCGTCCCTGCCACACCTAGAGTCTAAGTTGTGCTTCTTTCTGACCTTAGTGTAGAATAAAGAAAAGCAAAAGCTGTTTACCTTAGCATTGGATAATTAGATTATTGCTAAGTGTTGAGTGATTTTCAAAATGCAGTAGAACCTCCGTAGTTGACTACCTCCCTACATTGATCCTCCTCCTGAAGATGGCCTCATTTTCAGAGACTGGACGCGCACTGCAGGACTGACCTCTATATGTTGGCCACTCCTGTCAGCTGTATTTTGACCACTTGGACTGTGATGCACAGTATTCATTTATCCTCCATGACATAACTAGTGAGTCTATCCTTGACCACATGGTAGAAGATGTGGGCTGTGGCCCGAAGATGTGGGCTGTGGCCCGTACTTGTGTTGTTTTTTCTTTAGTGTATATTCTTTTTTTATGTTTTATTATTACCACATTTGGATTAGGCCTAATGTCCTATTTGTTTATCACACGTTCCAGAAGATTTTTTTTCAACATGAAGGACTGGTCTGAATTGTGGGTACATCCTTCAGTTACTGAAAAATTTTACAGTCAACTGAGATGTGATGGCCCAAAAGAAAGAACTCATGATATTGAAGTAAAAGGTTGATCTGCATTTTCTGGAAAGCAGCAGAGAAAGGTGGTGGAACATTTTGGTGTTGGTCAGACCACAGTTGACAACACCCAGGAACGTAAATGTGAGCACTTGGAGAGCTACAGAAAGGAAAGCAGAGACTACAGTGGGAAAGGAGGAAAACTTCCCTCAAAGTCAGCAAAGCCACACTAACGTGGTTCAAACAAACGAGGGTAGAAAACACCCAAATCTCCAGGCTGATGATCCAAGTGGCTAAATGTTTTGTGTAGGAAATTGGGGTGGCATCAGGTGTTGCTTGAGAAGTTTTCAGCTGTGCCATGAGATCTCTCAGACAGTCTTGTGTGGTGAATCCAGTGAGGTGTTAGTAGAAGTTGCAGAGAGTTCTTCGAAAAGTTCTCTGACATCTCCAGAGGCTTCAGAGATGACGGTATCTTTAAAACTGAGGCGATGCCTGTAAGGAGCCTGGTCATGAAGGGCAACAAGTGTAAGGATAGAAAACTTTGCAAAGAAGGATTCATAGTTCTGTTTTGGACTAGCTTAACCGGAGGGAAGTCATTGCCCTTGGTGACTGGTAAATTGGCAAAGCCACATAGAGCTGAGAACCTGAAGCCTGAAGACCTCCCTGTCAGGTAGAGGTCAGACCAAGGCAAACAGTGATGGGGCTCTGTCTGAGGAGTGGGAGTGTCAGCTGAGAAATGAAGAATGATCTACTCTGCTGACAGGACACAACTGTCCTGGCTGTCTGCAAATGAATCACCTCACAACACATCATTGAAACTGCTTCCTGACACGACCTCAGAAATCCCTGCGGAGCCCAGCCCCTGCAGCGGGCGGTCAATAAATACACACCTGTGCTTGCCTGTGGAGGCAGCTCCACCCGCTGCACCACTTAACACCCTGGCTGCCGTCGTCGGGGTCAGGTCTGTTGGAACGAAGTTCAGCCAGAAATGATGCATGCATTTACCTTTCTCTAGCTTACAGCAGTATAAGCTTGCATCTGTCTTGTCAGAGGTGATGGAGACATGTGGCTCTTGGTAGCCACTGCCAGCCTGCTCTCTGGTGCTGATTGGAGCAACATGTGAAATGGGGCTTTTGAATTATATTTCTAAGAACGCTTTTTTTTTTTT